ATTGCCCAGCGCGGCGCACGGGCGTGGGCGAACGCCTGTGGCAGGGGAGGCTTGAGGGTGTTTGGGGTTTGGGGTTTTGTAGGTTTGCAAGGGGTTAAACCCTAAACCCTGAACCCTAAACCTTCAACCCTAAAAGGGGTCAGATTAAGCTCAAGTCGTTGCGTTTTGTCTGGTTCTGCGTGCACTTCCAGATTGGTTGCGGCAAGGTGCTCGAACTCGTCTGCCTGGTTTTTCCCAGAACTTGCATGTTTCGAGCAAATTTCGGTGAACTCTGTGGTTTAGGGTTTAGGGTTTGGGTTTAGGGTTTAGGGTTTAGGGTTTAGGGTTTAGGGTGTCTGTGTCCTGGATTTTTCGTGCCATGTTTATGCATTCGCCCCGTGTCTTGGGAGACACTCTATTGCTCCTCAGAAAAGTTTTCTTTGAGGTTCCTTGCAACACCTGGAGGTTCATACAGGTATTTACAAGCAGGGTGAGAAGTAGAGGTAAGTATGGCTGCAACCTTACTTAGGGTACTTAACAACCCTACTCATCTAAGTAACCCATGACGCTTCAAAGCTATGACTACTATTTGCGTAACCCCCCCCAAAACAGAAACAAACAATATAATTCCAATATTACCCTTGAAGGAAGATGTGTTGTTGTTTTTGTTTTTTTTTTTTTTGGGGGGGGGGGTTCTTAGGCAATTGGTAGATGACCCAGGGTTCCCCCCCCCCCCCCACCACGGTCTTGCAGTCCTGCAGGTATTGAGCATGCAAGTACCTCAACAACTCCTTGGACTTAGAACGCGCTCATCCCAATCATCCCAATCATCCCAATCATCTCTAAACCCTAAACCCTAAACCCTAAACCCTCAACCCTCAACCCTCTTCCTCTCTCCCTGGGGCTCAAGATGCCCAAAAGGGCGTCATGGTTCAGGACTATATCTACTTCAGGGAGCTTATGAGTATCAGGTGAATACAGATATGTCCCAACATCTTTCGTGCAAGCTCGTACACAATTCGAGCGCTTTAACGCCTGCAAAGCTCGTAAGCGCTCTGGCCCAAGAAAAGCCCTTGAATACTAGACCCGAAATCCCTAACACCCTAAACCCTCAACCCTTCTTCCACCCAAATGCACCCCGTTCATAGGTACTTGTAAGTGGGGTTAGACGTAGGGCAACTGTGGTCATAACCTCATTTTGGGGTACTTCTCACCCCACTTCTAAGTACCCCGTTAACCCACATTCACCCTAAACCTTGTGTCTTTCCGAAACCTGAACCTAAATGAACCCCCACGAGGGGGTTTAGGGTTTAGGGTTTAGGGTTTAGGGTTTGGGGTTTAGGGTTTAGGGTTTAGGGTTTGGGGTTTAGGTCTGTGCTGTAGGCGGTGACCTGAACAGCACGGCTCCCACACCCAGGCCCAGGAGGGACAAAGCTTCGGCACACCTGGGGCTCAGGTTTAAGGGTTTAGGGTTTAGGGTTTAGGGAAGGATTTGGGTGTGCAACTCTTTGGGGTTCAGGTTTACGGTTTAGGGTAGGGATTTGGGCGTACAATTATGAGGTTCAGGTTTACGGTTTAGGGTAGGGATTTGGGTGTAGGGGGAAAAGGTTGAAATGTGCTAGGGGCTTTGGGAATATGGGGGGTTAGGGTTTAAAAAAATGCAAGGTTCTGGGGTTTCCACTAGGGGTTTTAGGGTCAAAGGGTTGACTAGGGTTCAGGATGTAGGGTTTGACCGCTTTTAGGCCTCGACTCTCACACACCCGCCGGCGGCGGGCCAGGGTCTTAACTGCAGTTTATAGGTGCAGGTTTGTAACCCTAAACCCTAAACCCTAAACCCTAAACCCTAAACCCTAAACCCTAAACCCTGGTTTGTTTTGCAACTCTTCTCCTCGGCTCTGTACTCCTCATCATCGTGCTGCGTCTCAGGGCCCGGGTCGTTGGAATGCCAGTGAACCCCCGCTGCTCGAGAATAGACACAGGAGTACAGGGTGGGGCCCCCTATAAGAAGAGTTATAAGGGCCCTAAATTGGGTTATAAGGACCCTAAGTTAGGTTCTAAGTCCCTTAACTACAGTTAGTATAGTAAGGGGGCCCCACCCTGTACACCAACAAGAACGCACATTGTGGCAAATGATCTCTTAGGGTAGGTACATGGTCCCTTCACACGGGCCCTTAAATGGGGACCGCTTTACATACCCCTGCAAAACCCTGTATAAGCCAAGGGCCCATAACGTCAGAACTCTTTAGAGACGGTTAGGGGCCATCCTTTCTGGACCATGCAACTGCCCTAAACCCTAAACCCTTTTGCAGCAGGCTTGTGGGTACCCTAAACCCTAAACCCTAAACCCTACAGGGTGGGGCCCCCTAGTTATAAGTAGAGTTATAAGGGCCCTAAATTGGGTTATAAGGACCCTAAGTTAGGTTATAAGTCCCTTAACTACAGTTAGTATAGTAAGGGGGCCCCACCCTGTAAACCCTAAACCCTAAACCCTAAACCCTAAACCCTAAACCCTAAACCCTAAACTTAGATAATCACGAGCTCAATGCCCTTAAAACGCAGCTCCGGGGTTCAGAAACTCGGAACATCTCCAAAATATCAAGCCTCAGAACTGCAGAATAACTAAGGCTCCCCTCCATGGAATCCCTAAACCCTAAACCCTGAACCCCTAACCCCTAAACCCTAAACCCTAAACCCTAAACCTGCCCTAAATCCTAAACCCTAAACCCCTAAACCCTCAACCCTAAACCCCTCAACGTTCGTCACCAGGCTGCTTGAAGCTGATGTGAATCTGCATCTCGTTCCAGGGGTTAGGAATGTCGCGCATCTCCTCAGGGTCGACGGTGGTCGGTGGTCGACTCTGGGGTTTAGGGTTTAGGGTTTAGGGTTTAGGGTTTAGGGTTTAGGGTTTAGGGTTTAGGGCCTAGACAGCCCCAGTTTGCTAGGCAACCTACAAGGCAATGATGCTGCTTTCATTAGGCAGGACTTTGGGTTAACCCCCCGGGTTTAGGGTTTAGGGTTTAGAGCATCCAGAAGCAATTCATAGACAATGCTGGACCACCAAAAAGGGCAAAACCCCAAGCCCTAAACCCTAAACCCTAAACCCTAAACCCTAAACCCTAAACCCCAAGCCCTCTGAGCCCCAAATCCCCCTGCCACCCCTCCGATGCCTCATCGGACAGGTTGACGTGCGCCAGGGCGTTCCGCATGTAGGGCTTGTTCAAGCCAAGGGGCTCGCACACCTGGTTAGGGTTTAGGGTTTAGGGTTTAGGGTTTAGGGTTTAGGGTTTAGGGTTTAGGGTTTAGAGGAGTTCACACAGAGTTGGAGGTTCATGTATAAGTAGGGTTATCAGTAGGGTAAATAAAGTTAGAACCGGAGTTAGGGTACTCATACCCTACTTACAAGTACCCCTGAACCTCCAGACAGGGTTTGCGGTCTCGTGCGAGGTCGCGTGCGCAGGTGCAAACCGACCCGGGCGCTGTGGGGATTTTAGCATGCACCCCACCCTCAAATTTTAGGTGGTCCCCGTTAGGTTGTAGTCCGCGGGGTCTATCGAATCTATTTTTATGAAATCGCTTGGCGTAGCGTCGGCAGTTTTTGACGGGCAGTCAAGGCTTATGATGGAGTGGACACTCCAACGAACCCCTGCAAACCTGGGAAGCTTCCGGAGCTGGAACCCTAAACCCTAAACCCCAAACCCAAAACCCAAAACCCAAAGCTCTAAACCCTAAACCGGTGAGGCTTCTGCATGTGCTCGGGTTGCGAGCCCTCGGCCAAGCAGTTCGGGTCTGTCGCTCGAGACAGCGACCCCTCACGAAATCTAGGGTCTACAGGGATAGCCTGCTAGCTGAGAGGGTTTGGGGTTACTTTTAACACTAACTAGTACCCTGCTTTTCTGGTAGCACAAAGCGGTACCCCACCTCTATAAAATCCCCTCGAAGCGTTCATTCTTTTGGAACAGCCCGACGGTCATTTCCCTCAGCCACCCCCCCCCCCCCGGCCTCCCTCCCTACCCCCGCACCCCTCTCCTCGACCCCACATTGGGGTGCTGATCTTTGCCGAATGGGCACCCCCCTATAGGTGACAGGCATACTTGGGGCCCGGTCGATGCATGAGCCTGCGTGTTACAACAGGATCCCCAAAGGGAATGATTGCGCGAAGCCTCTCAAAGAGCGGAAGTGTAACAGCACCTTCACACCCGCGTTCTCCTGTTTGGGTTACCTCGCCGCCGGGCAGGCGGCCGCGGCGGGTCGCGTAGCGATAAAAGTAGAATGGGCTTAGGGTTTAAGGGTTTAGGGTTTTGGGTAGACTCTGTACTGATTTAGGCGACAGGGTCAGGGATGGCAGGAGGACCATATGGGCAATATGGTCCTTCTTGTCTTGATCAAGGCACCCGGGCAAAGAAGTCAGCCAGCTGCACGGCCATGGCGAAACAGGGAAGGCTCGACGCGGCAGTTGTCGGGAAGGGAGCACCGGAACAAACGGAAGCAACCTTCTTGATCAAGGGGGCAAATGCGGATCCCGGACGGTCGAGGTTCAACTTTGAACAAAAACTCAGCACTGCCGCACAACTCGAATCCGACGTGGCACACAGAAAAATGGCAAACCGAGCCAGTCTAGCACCCGCTCTACCCCCTTTCCTCGCCGCCCAGAGCCCCCTTTAGCATGGAGAGAAGGGACCGTGCATTATCAGCTTGAAACCCTAAACCCTAAACCCTAAACCCTAAACCCTAAACCCTAAACCCTAAACCCTAAGCCCTTCCTCCCGAGGCTTCTTTCGGCTGCTCCGGCTACAGCTTCCTACTTGAAGTAACCGGCGTTGGGCTTCAGAATCTGTCCACCAAGACCTTGCTGTTGGTGAGCAGGGAATGAGGGAAGGAGGCACCCTATATCCCCCTATATATATATGCATATATATATATATATATATAGACCCTTTAAGGGACTATATAGGGTACCTCATTCCGTAATTCCCTGCTAGGCAACAGGAAGGGACTCCTCTGCCATGCCAAGGCGCGGGCAGTTACAACGAAGACAAGCTGTGGCTGCTCGCACCGTCGGCCGGAGCCGATGGGGATGCACGAATTGCCTATACTCCCCTTAGAACCTTGATAAAAAAAAAAAAAACATAATTCTGAATATACTCTTGGGCTTTATATGAAAAAATAAAAAAAATAGTTCCCAAAGGGGATAGAGTTGCTGGTAGGCACCGCCATAACCAGAGGTTGAGAATGCCCATCACGAATAACCCGACTAAGGCTCCACGCAGGCTGCCCCCAAGGAGTTCAGGAAGAATGAACTCATTCCTGGGACTCTCTTTACCTACAGTTTTACGGGTTATACCCCTAAACCCTAAACCCTAAACCCTAAACCCTAAACCCTAAACCCTAAACCTGCAGGTATAAATGGAATCCCAGGTTCAGCATCAAAAGGCTCCCGCAAAGGAGCACCCAGCAGCCCACCAAACCTATGGAGAGCAGCAGCTGCCCAACCAAGCCCTCACCTTACTGTTGCTTAGGGTTTAGGGTTTAGGCTTAGGGTTTAGGGTTTAGGGTTTAGGGTTTAGGGTTTAGGGTTAGGGTTTGAGGGAATTATAGGGCCTTATTGTTAGACCGTTTAAGGGCTTATATAGGGTACCTCAGAGGGAGGTGGGGCCCTATTATAATGTATACCCTTTAAGGGATGACATAGGGTACCTCAAAGGCAATTTGGCCCCCATTATAGACCCTTTAAGGGATTGTATAGGGTACCTCATGCCCCCATTCCCCTACTAAGCAACAGTAAGTCACAAAGGTGGCGCGACTTGTAGGTCAGGCGGAGCATTACCACGGCCGTGCTTGGCAGAAGCAGCAGCCAGTAGTTCACAGCTCTGCACAGTAGAGACGCCGTTTCGGGGGGATCTTGTGAGATGTAATCTAAGAACACCCACCCAACAGGGCAGCTTGCCTGCACAATGCGCCAATACGAGAAGGTGCGGTTCGCCAGCTGGTGAATCAGTGCCTGGTCAGGGCTCATAAGGCTTAAGGCACTGGGCCTTCCTTTGCGCGGAGGGTTTAGGGTAGTAGGTTGGGTAGTCGTATATCTATGGAGGGAGTATACATGCTATCCTTTTCTATACTCCCCTTAGAACCTCAAGAAAAATAATATTTTAAATATCCTCTTGGGTTTTATATGAACAAAAAATAATTCCCAAGGGGGATATAGCTTTTGGGTGCCAAAGATGCTGTCAGGAGCGTGCTGCGCACCGTGGACTCGAAGTGCTCCGTGGTCCCGAACCAGGCGGCGATGCAGCGGAGGATGATGTCACGGTCGCACACCTTAGTTGCTTGAGTTCATCAGCCCCAAAACTAGGCTGCCCAGTAACCAAGGCTTAGAAAGGGTGCCCTTTTTTGCCTAAAGGGGTTGAAAAGGGAACCTAAACCCTCCAAAAAGGGAATAAGGGTACTGCTGGGCATCCTAGAAAAAAGTGTACACTTTCAGTTCTATAGGGGATAATCGTATCCCAACACGTGTAAAGTGTGCTCACTCAGCTGCTAAGAAACAGTGTCGGGGTCGCTATGCCCTACCGCGCAGCAGGAGCTGGAAGAGTCCTTCTTGGTAGCCCAGTAACCATGTTCTAGCAAGGGCACCCCCCTTTTTTTTTGGGCTTGGGCTATTTTTTTTTGTAAAGGGAACCCAGGTTTAGGGTTTAGGGTTTAGGGTTTAGGGTTTAGGGTTTAGGGTTTAGGGTTTAGGGTTTAGGGTTTAGGGTTTAGGGTTTAGGGTTTAGGGCACCACAAAAGGCCACCCCGAGCCTTGATGGTGAAGCAGCGCACCTGGGCCTGCATGGCCTCGATGCTTCTGGAGTGCTTCAGAACTACGTACGCCAGCAGGGTCAAGCCTGATTCATGGTTGGGATAGTATGAAGAATCTTACTTTCTTTATTCCTTATATTGGGTTAGGGATAGTATGAAAAATCTTACTTATTATTCCTTATGTTGGGTTAAAAGTGCCCTTAAAGATGTAAAATGTTACCCAACTATGACAAAGAAACATGGGAAGGCAAGAATGCCGATGATGGGCAAACGCCGTGGCCCAAACGGCCCCTCCGATGCTTTGAAAATCGTCAGCATGATGCTTGCGCCCAGATTGCCGAGGAGAAGGGCAGGACCCACAAGAACGGGGCAGATCACCACGCTCGCGTGCCTTTCTTGCTCACGGTGCTTGTGGCTTCGCAGAAATGCAGCCATCTCGAACATACACCACCTTGCCGGTCTTTCAATGTCTCTGTTTGGGTTTAGGGTTTATAGGGTTTAGGGTTTAGGGTTTAGGGTTTAGGGTTTAGGGTTGAGGGTTGAAGGTTTAGGGTTGAGGGTTGAGGGTTAAAGTGATCTGGTTTAAGCTGACAAGGAGTGTTAAGTTCTGGAAGCGAACCAAGACACAGTCTTGAGACGTATGTCTCATCCCAAAGAACCACGAGAGACCTCGAGCACTTGAGAATCGCGCCGAGGCTGAGAATGCCCTCTGCTTTCCTATACTGAACTTGAAACCCTAGCGAAACATAATTTCTATGCTGTTTCTTAGGCACCCAAAATTTACAAATTATTTCCAAGCACCCCTAAGTTTCAGGGTCTTGTCAGTCTGGTGTATGCATGCAGCATCCAGGAAGACCAACTTCCTCCGCCGCCACAGCAGCAGTGTCAAGTAGTAGCCCACAGCCCCGCAGGGCACGCACAAGTTCTGCCAAGAAACTGAGCCAGAAGCACGCAGGCAGAAGAACACCACAGCGCAAAGCGTGCCCACAGCAAATGCCGGCAGGCCGTTGTTCAGGAAAAGCACATTCGTGTACTTGAACACGGGCCTTGTCTGCCAGCTGTGGGACCAAAATTCGTCAAGCTCATGCGCTGCCTCGCTGAGCGCGTACAGCTGATGGAGCCGCCCTCGCCTCCAGCTACAGGGAGCGCGTTGCAGGACTCGGAAAGCCCTGATGCCGCGCAGGTGCTGCGGCCGGGTGGCCTTCATCTGGGACATCAGCTCGATGAAAGGCTCCAGGAGATGATTCTGATCTTCCTCACTTGCCGCAGTCTCCGACGTGCATGGGACTGCTGAATGTTTCGAGGCTCTCCCCTCTGGAAACTCACAGGGCACGCCCCAGGAGACTTGCAATTCCAAGCTGCTGGCCGACATGGCGGAACGCAAAAGTTCAGGAATTATTAGACCCTAAACCCTAAACCCTAAACCCTAAACTCTAAACCTACAGTCTACGCACCTTCATGAGGATTATAGTAGCACGGGGCATGTGATCCCAATGCTAGGGTTCCTTTGGTCCCCAAGGACTACTATTTGCTTAAGAACCCCCAAAAGCAAAAGATGATCCTCACAAGGTAGAAAAAAATATATATAGATATATTTGGGGGCTCTTCTGCAAACAGTCGGTAAGGTTTACAACCCTAAACCCTATAAGCTTTATAAGCCCTAGAAACCAGTGTAAATTCTAAACCCTACAGGGTGGGGCCCCCTTACTATACTAACTGTAGTTAAGGGACTTATAACCTAACTTAGGGTCCTTATAACCCAATTTAGGGCCCTTATAACTCTACTTATAACTAGGGGGCCCCACCCTGTATAAAGCCCAGGAAGCCCTTTAGGACGGATAGGTGTCTGGCGGCTTCTGGCTTCGGGTTTGGGCGCCTCACACCCTAAACCCTAAACCCTATAAACCCTAAACCCTAAACCCTAATGTTGACTTCACATTAATGATTCCCGCTACAATTATAAAATCCAGCTGCCGGAACACAATAATGTAACCCCCCCACAATTATAAAATCCAGCCCGGAATATTTTTTTTACGGGCGTGGTGCTACTACCTAATACTAAAACTAATAGTACGTCCTACCAGGATTTAGGCGAATATAATTGAGGAGGCCCTGGCCGGAGAGATTGCTCAATCAAGGGGGGGGGGGGGTTATTGATGCGAAGTCAACATTAAACCCTAAACCGAGGCGACTCAAGGATCAGGGCTTTGCGGATTGCCTTTGCAGCCAGAGGGGTGCTTTTTGCCACCCGCGCTGGCCTCGACTTCGTCCCTGCGGAGTCGCGCGCGAGCAAGGGCCAGAGGGGGTTTAGGGTTTAGGGTTTAGGGTTAAGGGTTTCCCTCCCTTTCTGCGATGAGTGCAGCCGTGCTAGATAGCTGCCACCGCGAATCAGCCCAAAATGTGTAGCGCGCTATGTAGATGACACCACTATCCTGCTCTTAAACCCTAAACCCTAAACCCTAAACCCTAAACCCTAAACCCTAAACCCTAAACCCTAAACCCTAACCTTGAAGGACAGGAGATCCTTGGGTATAACCCGCAAGACTCTGTAGATGTGAGGTTTCATGTCGACTCTGTCAGCTGACGCCTGGATACCCGACATTTAGGGTTTAGGGTTTCGGGTTTAGGGTTTAGGGCAACCCGGGGGGGGGGGGGGGATGTCTAGGTGATTTTGTTTATTATGGTGACTATATAAGGGCTATGATTGCTAGAACTAGTTAGGCCTGCACCCTATAACCCTACAAGGGGAGGGGGTGATGATGTTGCAAGGAAGCCGAACAGGCACGCATTTTCTTTGGCAACCCCCCCCCCCCCCCCCCCAGCTCGGGAAAAGGCATCGATCGTCAGAGCCTCCTGCGCTGGGGGCTAGAGTTAGGGCTCAGGTGCCCCTAAACCCTAAACCCTAAACCCTAAACCCTAAACCCTAAACCCTAAACCCTAAACCCTAAACCCTAAACCCTAAACCCTAAACCCCAGACTTTTGGGGTTTCACGTTCGAGGCTTATTAGGCTTAGGCAGTTGGTCGCCGTCGTGGTTAGGAAATTGCTCTAGCCGAAAGACATGAGAACTGCGAAACATAGGTGCAGAAGGTCACGAGGGCGCCCACTCAAAAAACAAGAGCCTGCCACAAACACTTGAGTCGCACTAGAAACCACAGTAAGCCGTCAAAAAAAAACTACTCCAAGCAAACCAAAAAAATGAAAAATGAACCCCCCAACTCTAAACCCTCAACCCCTAAACCCTAAACCCCCAAAAACACCCTCAACCCTAATCCTAAACCCTAAGTCCCGAATCCTGTGATTCCTACTCCTAAATCCTCCAAATCTTAAAAGATCTCCCCCTTCCAGCATGGGATACTCTACCCTACAACCCCTTTAAAAAAGACCCTGTATCGGGTTGATTATGGGGATTATGGGGCCTCATGGGATATTCTACCCTACAACCCCTTAAAAAAGACACTTTATGGGTTGATGATGGGGATTATGGGGCCTCATGGCCCCTCCTGGTTCGCCTCGGTCGAGGACCGAGGCTTTACGGAGCTGGGCCGACACTGGGCTCGTCGTCTTGGGCCGCATGCTCCTGGTCCTTCGTCCGCGGTTTAGGGGTTAAGGTTTAGGGTTTAGGGTTGAGGGGCTAGGGAAGCTTTAGGAGGCTTAGGGTGTAGGGTGTAGGGTTTATTAGGAGAAGGCGAAGGCAATCTGTCCCTTAACCCCCCCCCCACCCCAAACCTGCTTCCCGCCCTTTACAAGCCCGCAGAATCTTGCGGGGCCGAACCCTTCTTGCAACCCCAAAACCCTATAAACCCTAAAAACCCAATTAGAAACCCTAAAACCCTACAAACCCTATAAAACCCTATAAAACCCTATAAAACCCTATAACACCCTATAAAACCCTATATACCCTACAAACCCCTATAAACCCTATCAAACCCTGTATAAGCCCTGTAAACCCTATGAGAGGGGGAGGAAAAGAAAGGGCCTCCGCCAGATTCAGGTCGACCTGCTCGTAGAGGAAGCTGGCGACGCCGTATGCACCTTGAACTCTCTCTGAAACCCTAAACCCTAAACCCTAAACCCTAAACCCTAAACCCTAAACCCTAAAACCTAAACCCTAAACCCTAAACCCTAAACCCTAAACGCAAGGAGGGCTTCGGGCGTGTCTAGGCTGTAGGGCCTGTGGCGCGTAAAATGTTGTAGGCTATTTAAGGGTTTAAGGAGGAAACTGTGCCTTCAATACTTGGTGTGTTTGCCTCTAAGTTCTTAACATTGAGTTCTACAAGGTGCCTTCAAGTAAAAAGGGGCATGTGAGGGCGCCAGCTCCGGAATCCCTTACGCAGAAGTAGCAAGGAAGACAGTCCTAACTATCGTCCTAAACCCTCAGCCGTAAACCCTCTTAAAGCCCAATGAGGGAAGATGTACAGTAAAAAAAACAAGATCCGAAAGGCCTACCCAGGCACTGAGCGCAATGCTGAAGAGCTGGGTCAGGCCCTGACTGGGAGTCAGAACGCAGTAGTTGAAGCCTCGTTGGCTGAGGAGTCCAGGAGAAACAAGGGCTTAGGGTGCAGGGTTTATGATGTTTAGGGTTAGGTGTTAACCTTTGCGGTTCTAGAAATTTGTGATACCCCAAAACCGGTCAAAAAGGTCACCTCCTCACCTCCTCACCCTAAACCCTAAACCCAGAAACGGCTAAAAAGGTGGCCTGCTCAGCATCTAAGGAGCTGTATGAGGTCAAAGCCAAGCTGAACACGCCCTCGAACCCCTTCTCCTTCGTTGCCAGGGTAGGGTTTGGTTTAGGGTTTAGGGTCTAGGGTTTAGGTTTAGAGTTTAGGGTTTAGGGTTTAGGGTTTAGGGTTTAGGGTTTAGGGTTTAGGCTTTAGGGTTTAGGGTTTGGGGCTTGGGGTTTTAGGTTTTCGGCTTTAGGGTTTCGGGTTCAGGGTACTGCTGGCAAGACTCTTCATTGAGGAGGTTCAAGAGGTCCTCGCTTCTCCACGCGCCAGGGAATGAAAAAGCTTAAGCATTACTTACGCCTATTCTCAAATGACAAGAGACAAACACAAACTGCAAACCCCAAATTTTCTCACCCCAAACCTTACCATTGCATGGCTTAAGGAGCATTTCGTAGAATGCCACGGGCGATGCTCGCTTCGACAGCTTCTCGGATCCGCCCAGGGCTGCCATAGAAGAGCTCCTGCGCTATGAATTAATCTGCAAGCTTGTTCTGAAACTTTCGTGTTCCTTGAAGGTTTTTTGTTCCTCAACCAAGGATACTTGCACCCAAACCCCCCAAAAACCCCAAAACCCTCAAAGAACCCCAAATTCCCAAACCCCCCCAAACCTCTCCAAAACCTCCCCCCCCCCCCCCCCCCCCCCCCCCCCCCTCCCCCCCAAAGAAACAAAGAACAGCAACAAACCAACAAAAAAATGAAAAACCCAAAACCCCCAAAATCCAAAAAGAACCTGATACATGCCCAACAAAAAACCCTGTCCTGAATGACTGTACCTTAGTTGCTGAGTTCATAAGCCCCAATAAAGTGTATACTTTCAGTTCTATAGGGGATTATAGATGATTATAGTATCCCAAAAAGTGTAAAGTGTGCTCGCTCAGCTACCGAGAGTTAATTTTGGGGCCCTAAACCCTAAACCCCAAACCCTACCACCCTGTCCTGAAAGACTGTACGGAAGACGATGGCCGTCAGTGCGAAGGCGAACCTTGGGATGGACTGGCAGGCAATGATCCAATTCCCGCTGTGGCAAAGACCACATCTCCAACTTTTGGTTTAGGGAGGCATTATGAAAAAGTCGTTGCCGACTTATAGGGAGCTGTTTGGGGGTTTTGGGGCATCAGGTTTCGACACTGCAGGCAAGAAAGCTAACGAAGTTTCAGTGTTTAAGGTGTATAGGGTTTAGGCTTTACAAATAGGGCCTATGGTTGTAGAACTCTTCGGGCGGGAGGAGTGAAGGGGGAAGGGGGGTTTGGCGGGTTTGGGTACAGCTACGACCTCTCAGCCCCATGGCCATGTGCACTTTGAAGCAACTACACTTTAGGGTTTAAGGTTTAGGGTTGAGGGTTTGTAGACTCTACACCCCTGAACTCCTAAACGGCCCAGGAGCTTGAAGTTTCTCGAGGCGGTCAACGTGTAGATGGTATTCAAATCCTTCAGGGGCGGTTTAGGGTTTAGGGCGGGTTTAGGGCGCTGGCCACCAACATTGCATGAAGTCATCAGCGTGGCTCAAGCTCACCAACGAAAGTGACCAAAGAGTCCCGAGAAGCCTAGCCCACACCCGGCACACCCGACAAAACCTAAACCCTGAACCCCAAACGGCCCTAAACCCTGTAAACCCTCAAAACCCTACACAGCCCTAAGCCCTATAAACCCCAAACTTCAAGCCCTTGACTGGCACAGACTAGGCTCCAGAAGCATGTCCATGAGGTACAGGCACATCCTGATTCTGGGCCGGCAAGTGTTTGGCTTCGGGTTTAATGAGGGTTTATAGGGTTTAGGGCTTATAGGGTTGGGGGGCTTATAGAGCTCATGGACAGGGGACGGGGGGATAAGCTTCCGGTAGACCTTGGGTGCAGTAAGGCCTTAGTAAGAATGTAGCGCACCACGGCTTCACGTGTTTACGAGCAGAATTCGGCCCTCTTGTGTCCTGGCATGTCTTGTACACCCCCCCAACCCTGAACCCTAGCCCAACACCCTCAACCCTGAAAAGAAGGATCCCCCAACATCAAAACCCTAACCCTAAGCACAACCATGAAAAGAAGGACCCATCACATTATTGATTTCGAGGCAGCCTGGCGTAGACGCTGTCCAGGCTCATGTTGCAGGCCTCCTTTTCGTCGTTGGTTCACGGAACCCGACATCCCGACTGCCACCCCACCACCCCTCCTCAAAGAAATATTTCATTGATAAAAACTCATAGAGACACTTAGACCAGTAATAACACTAGCATGAATGAAATCCAAAAATCAAGGTAATGACGACAACGAAAACAAACAACTACAAATCTAAAGTTGCATTCTGGAGCTCTCCTCCCCCCCACCCCTACCGCAACGAAGCACTTTAGAAACCCCCTAAACCCAAACCCAAACAACCCCGACCCCCAAACCCAAAACCCCTAAGTCCTAAAAGCTCATAAGCCCTCAACCCCAAGACCCTAAACCCCCAAATCCTGAACCCCAACCCCCAAACCCAAAAATCATAAACTCCAAACACCCCCAAACCCTAACCCCTAACCCCTAACCCTAAACCCTAAACCCTAAACCCAAAACCCCAAACCCAAAAGTCTGATCTTTGTCCTCCGGCACCACCTCCTCTGGCCATTCCTTGGTTCTTCCTTTACAGAGCTCACCAAAGACTTCGGCTTTAGGGTTTAGGGTTTCTAGAGCAACGTGACTTATTTCAAGTTGTAAGAGAAGAGCCCGAAAATCCTAGACCCTAGACCCCAGACCTTAAACCCCAATCCTAAACCCTAAACCCCAAACCCCAAACCCCAAACCCCGAACCCTACAACCCTAAACCCCCATACCTAAACCCTAAACCCCAAACCCAGCTTCGTCATCGTCCGGGCTTTCTCCAAGCACGCGGCGGACCATGTCGGCCGTTTCGCTGTCCGAGGCTAAGGACTCCACCGCAGCCTGGGGGGAAGTTAGGGTGTTGGGGGGGGGGGGGGGGGGGAGTTGGGGTTTGGGGGGTTGGGGTTCGAAGAAATCGAAACTCGGGTTTCTGCTTAAAAGAACTGAGGGTGGCATTTCAAAGCTGCTCTTTAAGGTCTTTGCTGATGTTTCGCTCCAGTGGTCCAGGGCTCTTAGAGCAAATTTAGACCCAAAACCCTAAACCCTAAACCCGAAACCCGAAACCCTAAACCCTAAACCCTAAACCCTAAACCCTAAACCCTAAACCCTAAACCCTAAACCCCAAGCCCAAGACTCATCAAAGCTTAGGCACGGGCCTGCGAGTGAAGGGTGTGCTGCCTGGCAGACATTTGGGGCGTTCTGGGCCGCTTGAAAGCATGGTTATGGGCTCCTCCTTTTTGCCCCTTCAGCCATACTTACGGGGACCTAAACTTTCAGATCGTCTCAGGGCTTCAGGGCTGCAACCCCCAAGCGCTAGTTGAAACCCCCAATATCTCGCCCGGCCTGGCAGTTTTGACCAGATGGCACAGGAGCGAGGCGACATAGGCGGCCAGGAGCACGATCGTCAGATAAAGGAAGAAGGTCATGAAGAAGTAGAGGTCCAAACTGCTGCTGAGATGAGTGCACTGTTTTTGTGTTTTGCCCCTGCTGCCCTACATTCCCTTTTTTACAGCAGGGCTCCCCGGCTACGCCCTAATCCCTATGAACCCTAAACCCCAAATGCCGAAACGCCTGAGCCCCCAAACACAAAAACCCTAAACCCTAAACCCTAAACCCTAAACCCTAGGCCAGAGCCCACCAGCTTTGAGGAACTCTTACTACCTCCCTCTAAATCTGGGGTGGGTGCGAGGAGATTGTATGGATTGGGATTGGGTTCAGGTTTAGGGTTTTTTCGGAGGCCATCTGGCCTAACCCACATTTTTGGGGCAAGAAACGGGGGTTAACACACTCTTCAACCCTGAAGCCCATAAATCCCCAAAACCCTTGCCCTAAACCCCAAACCCTAAGCCCTAAACCCTATAAACCATATAAACCCCATAAACCCTAAACCCTAAAAGCCCTCATATGCCCCATCTGGGAAACGTTCGCAACAGCTTGAGCCTCCCCAAGAACGTAGCCGCGGTCCCTTGCGTTGCTGTGGCGTTGAGATGGAGCGGGGAGAGGACATCCTGTTAGGTTTAGGGTTTTAGGGTCTATAGGGTTTAGGATTTATAGGGTTTAGGGGGTAGGGTTTGTAGGGTTTATAGGGTTTAGGGTTTAGAGGGTTTAGAGGGAGGGTTTAGAGGGTTTAGAGGGTTTAGAGGGTTTAGGGGTGAGGGTTCAGGGCTTCAGACGCAACAAGTGTGAGGAAGTGGATGGCCATTCACTAAACCCTAAACCCTAAACCCTAAACCCCAAACCCCAAACCCTAAACCCTAAACCCTAAACCCTACCCCCAAGCCGGAGCAAAGTGCTCAAGGATCTTTGTCTTCTTTGAGATCCATGGATTTGTTGCCCCTAAACTTGGATTTGTTGCCCCTAAACTTTAGGTTTTAGGGTTTAGGGTTCAGGGTTGGGATGTTCCCCCTCTTCAAACAGTCCTTGCTAGGGATTCTAATAGGGGGGGTACTATTATCTTATTAAGGACTGTTAGTAGTGTAGGGGGGAACATCCCGATCTATGGATGAGGAACTCCAGGCCATGAAACCCTAATTTAGGGTTTAGGGTTTAGGGTTTAGGGTTTAGGGTTTAGGGTTTAGGGTTTAGTGTTATTATAGTCCCCAATGCCCAAACAACCCCACCAGTAGTGTGGAAGCCTTTGGGGGTCCTCGTCGAGTGAGTTTAGGACCCTCAACCCGACAGCCTAAACCCTAAACCCAAACCCTCAATTACTAACCCTAAACCCTAAACCCTAAACCCTAAACCCTAAACCCTAAACCCTAAACCCTAAACCCTAAACCCTAAACCCTAAACCCTAAACCCTAACCCTAAACCCTGAACCCTAAACCCCACCCCTCCCACCCCAAAGTCCTGCGCACTGCTGAGGTTCACCCTGTCGACCGGCCTATACTGCCCTTAGAACCTTAACAAAAACAGTATTTTAAAGACCCTAAACCCTAAACCTTAAACCCTAAACCCTAAACCCTAAACCCCAAAACCCAAAAACATAAAATAATTCCCAAGAGGGATATAGAGGCAACTCCTGGAGCAGGGACTGCTCCGCCCATGCCGAGCTCCACTTCAGCATCACCTGCCTGGGTTTAGGGTTTAGGGTTTAGGGTTTAGGGTTTAGGGTTTAGGGTTTAGGGTTTAGGGTTTAGGGTTTAGGGTTTAGGGTTTAGGGTTTAGGGTTTAGGGCTTAGGGCTTAGGGTTTAGGGGTTTAGGGTTTCGGGGCCTTTGTCAATTTTTCTTAATACAGCTTAAATTCAACAAATTACGACGATCTTGCGACCCGACTGCCCGAGGAGGGGGTTTGCGGGGGCCCAGCTGCTAATCCAGAGTCCAAACAGCGCCGCCAGGCGGAGGAGGGCGAAGACGACACCTTTGGGTCCCTCTTCAAACCCCCTGAAAAAATATTCCTAAATATGATCAGGGTTTAGGGTTTAGGGATCGATCATATACGGAAAATATAATTAACCCCCTTAAGCTCCAAAATGTAAAAAGTATCCCTAAACCCTAAACCCTCAACCCTGAACCCTGTAAACCCCAAACCCCAAACCCCAAACCCCAAGCCCCAAGCCCCAAGCCCCAAAACCCAAACCCCAAACCCCAAACCCCAACCCCAAACCCCAAACCCCAAACCCCAAACCCCAAACCCTAAACCCTAAACCCCACCAAGGCACTGCCCGGGCCCCGCACGGCAAAGGCCAGCGCTGGGCTCCGATGCAACTTGGACAGGGGCCACCTCGGGGACCCAATGATACCTTAAAGGGTTTAGAGTTTAGGGTTTAGGGTTTAGGGCTAAGGTTTGGGGTTTAGGGTTCTGGTTCATAGTGCCTTAGTAGGCGTTATAGTGTTATAGGGTATATGACCCCTATACCACACTTTAATTCCTAATGAACCATAAAATTGGGCCCGCCTATACCACTATAATTCCTACTACGTTAAGAACACATACTTTTTTGAAGGTTACCCAAGAATCCGATAAGGGGTGTCATAGTAGTAACTTACAACAAAGTAGGTTTTGGGTTCTCAAGGTAAGGTAGTATGCACCAAAATCCCTTTTAGGGTTCATTTGGTCCCCATGAGCCACTGACACACAGCAGGGCCCCAATAGGCCGCAAAGGTCACTGGCAAAAAGAAGACCCACCACTTCTGCAGCATCATCGTGCCAAAAACGAACACCTGGGGTGACGGGGGGGGGGGGACCTAAATGAACCCATAGAAGGGTTCGTGGCTCACATGCCCGAATAGGAATTATGTAGTAGCATAGAATATTCGACCCCAATGTTGGGGTTCATTTGGGTGTTTCCGGAAAGGGGCGGGGGGGGGGGGGGGGGGGGCGTGGGGGTACCTTAATGGGGTCCCTATTTCAAGGGGGAACCCTGCTGCTTGTTGGGCATCTATACTGAGGGGTCCCCCCCTTATAATTCGGAAAGCTCCCATGTGGCCCCAAACGCTAAAACCCGAAAAAACCTAAAACCCTGTAAACCAGAAATCCCAAACCCTACACTCCCTATAATGGTCCCCAAAAGGGCACTGCTGTACGCCTCCTTTTGTAATAGTATAGGGTACCTACTATACCAAAAAAAGGAATTACATATCAGCATAGGGTATTATGACCCCAAATTTAAATTTTGGGGGTTCTTTTGGTCCCTAAGCCCTAAACCCTAAACCCTAAACCCCTAAACCCCTAAACCCTAAACCCCAAACCCCCAAACCCCCAAACCCCCTAAACCCAAGAGGGCACCACGTTGCTGTAGACCTCGAGGACCCGGAATGCCTTGAGCAGCGCGGACCGGGTGGTCGGCTGGAGTGCCTTGGCCACCATGAGCCGCGCCCCCTGGTGGAAGTCATCCTGAAGGTTTAGGGTTTAGGGTTTAGGGTTTAGGGTTTAGGGTTTAGGGTTTAGGGTGTTTAGGGTTTAGGGTTGAGGGTTTAGGGTTTACAGGGTTTAGGGTTCAGGGTACTTATAGGTAGGGTTATAGCCCTTCCCCACCCCCACAAGAAGGAGGTTTCAGTATTCTAGGTACTGCATTTAGGATTTAGGGCTGCTTGGAGGTTCATGTCGGGTACTTTTGAGTAGGGTTCCAAGTAGCCTGAATAAGTTTCTAACCATAGTCACCCTACTGTCAGGCCCTACTTATATTAGTACCCAAGTGAGCCTCCGAGAACCCTAACCCTAAACCCTAAACCCTAAACCCTAAACCCTAAACCCTAAACCCTAAACCCTACTTCTATTCGTACTCCCAAAGATGAGCCTCCAAGAAAGGGTGGTGGGCATGCTCCGGGTCGATGCCGCGCTGCGCCGCGACGAAGGCGGCGGCCGCCGCCATGCCGCCGCCGAAGGCGGCGTAGGTCTCCCAGCGCCGGAGGCTCCTATACCCCCACTTAGAACCTCATGAAAAAAAACCATATTTTTTTAAGAGGATTTTATATAAACAAAAAATATATTTCCTAATATCCTCTTGGGCTTTATATAAACAAACATGTAAAAGAAGTCCCAAGGGGGATGGAGGCTCTGCAAGGCCAGGCTTGAAGTGCTCATCTGCGCCTTCGCTTCAGGGTTTTAGGGATTTAGAGGGGGGTTTGCAGGGGGTTTGTAGGGGGTTTATAGGGGTTTTAGGGGTTTATTAGGGGGTTTAGGGGGTTTAGGGAGTTTTTGGGGGGTTTAGGGTTTAGGGTTTAGGGTTTAGGGGGTTTTAGGGGGTTTATAGGGGTTTTGGGGGGTTTAGGGTTTAGGCTAAGGTTTAGGGGTTTAGGGGGTTTAGGGGGTTTCGGGGTTTAATTAGGGGTTTAGCGTTTGTAGGGCTTGGGGTACCCGTCCGCGCCTGCTTCAGGGTTTAGGGGCTTAGGGGTTTAGGGTTTAGGGCTCATAAGGTTTAGGGGTTTAGGGGTTTTTCGGGTTTATAGGGTTTATAGGGTTTAAGGGTTTAGGGGTGTATAGGGCTTGAGGTACTCATCTGTGCCTGCCACCAGCTCCGCAAGGTTTCGTTGTGAATCTCCTGAGAGAAAGACAGGAAGCCCAGGCACTACAGCTAGGGTTTAGGGTTTAGGGTTTAGGGTTTAGGGTTTAGGGTTTAGGGTTTAGGGTTTAGGGTTTAGGGTTTAGGGTTTAGGGTTTAGGGTTTAGGGTTTAGGGACCTTCTTTCTCTTTCAGCTGCTTTATCTCCATCTCTAGTTTTTATCTCTTCCCCTCTGTCTTGTGCATGATCAATCTTGGTGTTTTTCTTTGTTTATTGATGTCTCGGTCTCTCCCTCTCCCTATGGGCTAAATACAAGAAGCCCTCGCTGCATCATGAGAGTGCTCACTCTTGATTTGGAACGAACATCTTTCATAAACCCTACCCCCTACACCCTGCACCCCACCCCAAACCCTAAACCCTAATCCCTAAACTCTGAACCCTATACCCTAAACCCTAAACCCTAAACCCTAAACCCTAAACCCTAATGATCACAGCGCAGATTCCGTCCAGAGAGGCGCGCCGGTGTGGGCGTCTACGACCCAGGGGTCGTCCAGGGCGTCGGCCCGAAGAAGGGCATGGACCACCTGTTTATAGGGTTATAGGGTCTGGGGTTATAGGGTTTAGGGTTTAGGGTTTAGGGTTTAGGGTTTAGGGTTTAGGGTGTAGGGTGTAGGGTTAGGGTTTGGTTCAGGGTTCAGGGTTTAGGGTGTAGGGTTTGGGTTTAGGGTTGATTATCTTGCTGGAAGCTGTATCTTCTGAAACCGCCCCCCCCCCCCCCCCCCCCCCTTTGTAGAATATGTAAGCGGGTGCATGGATACATCCTCTGCCGCTCGCCTTCTGCAGGTTTTGGTTCTTAAGGACCTTTGCATGCCTTCTTCACAGTGGGCTAAAGGTTGAGTCCGGATCCCTCCCCCCCTGCGCTGCAGCAAAGCTCGTCTTTCCCTCGTCCTCTCGGACCCCTCAACCCTGTAAGCCCTTCAAATCCTAGAAACCCTATAAACCCTATAAGCCCTAACCCTATAACCCCTACAAACCCTACGAACCGGGGTGGGGGGGGGAACTATAACCCTACATCCTAAAACCCTTTTTGCAACAGGCGTAGCGTAGCACTTTCGCACCCCAAACCCTAAACCCTAGTTCCCAAACCCTAAACCGTAAACAACCGTAAACAACCCTAAACCCTATCAGCCCTAAACCCTAAACCCTAAACCCTAAACCCTAAACCCTAAACCCTAAACCCCGAACTCGCTGCGCGACCTCCGGATGGTCGAAGGTCACTGCCAGGCTCAGCGAGGTCCAGCCGCTTGGATTTTGGGCCTCCAGGGCTTGGGGTTTAGGGTTTAGGGTTTAGGGTTTAGGGTTTAGGGTTTAGGGTTTAGGGTTTAGGGTTTAGGAGTTTGGGCCTCCAGGGCTTCGTGGGCAGGTTTGGACATGTTTTGGCCATGCATCCCTCGGATTGGCGCGGAATCTTTTTTACCCTAAACCCTAAACCCTATGACCCCACCCTAAACCCTAGCCCTAAACCCTAAACCCCTAAACCCCAGTTTCCGAGGCCTCCACTCGGGCCCCGTGCTCCAGCAGAATCTCCACCACCTCTGGGTGCCCAAACCTGGCGGCCCACATCAGCGGCGTGAATCCGTCCTCATCCTCCGTCTCCACCTGAGGGGGGGGGGGAGCTCGAGCCGTCAAAACCCTAGCCCTAAACCCTAAACCCTAAACCCTAAACCCTAAACCCCATGTTGAATCCACACCTCGGCCCGGTGGTCCAGCAGGGCCTGCACCGCCTCCCTGTAGCCGTGCTTTGCGGCGTACATTAGCGGAGTCGCCTGAGGGTTTAGGGTTTAGGGTTTAGGGTTGAGGGTTGAGGCTTGAGGGCTTAGGGTTTAGGGTTAGGGAGAGGGGGAGCCTTGAGACGAGGGGCCCACAAGCCGGAGACCCTACTTGGAGGTTCAGGGTTCTTTTCTCCCCCAATAATTATAACTGCACTTGTAAACCCCCAAGCCCCCTAGGTCCTCTAAGTAGGTTATAAGTAGACTTACAATTGGGGTTAACCTCCAAATATATTCCCCGGGCAATAAGACCCCATGAACCTCCAAATCCACAAAAACCAACGCCTCGCCCGCCGACCCACGGACGTGCACCAGCAGCTGGGACGTGGCCAGCGCGCAAAGCCGGCGGGTCATGGCGCCCCGAGTCCCGTTGGGGTTAGGGTTTATAGGGTTTAGGGCTTTCGGGTTTGGGGCTTTACGGTTTAGGGTTTAGGGTTTAGGCCTCAGGGTAAACCCTACACCCTAGACCCGAAAGCTATTTTTTTTTCATCAGGCTTGTGGGGTGTACATATCCCGGCCTGAAGCGGTTCAAGTTCACATCCTAAACCCTAAACCCTAAACCTAGGGTTTCGGGTGTTTGGGTTTTGGGAGGCTTCACGTTCGGCCCCTCCAGAGTGTCATTCTTTGGGGAACAGAGGAGATATCTATCTGAAATAGGTTCTTCGTAATTGGGCTTCTTGGGACTTAGGGTGTGGGCCTAAACCCTATACCCTAACCCTAAACCCTATGAGCTGGTTTCACACTTATCTTCGCGGGCTCTGGGAGTGAAAGAGGGTCCGGGGTTTGGGGGGGGGGGGGAGGGGGGGGAGGGGTGTGTTGTAGTTTTGAGGGGTTGGTGACTTTGTCCCTGGTCGTTCCTTGTATTGCTTAGCTTGTCCAGTTTCCTGAAAAAACTCAAGGTTCACCTTTGGGATTAGATATGGAATCTGGTACCCAAAAATGGTTGAAGGTTCCCTGCTCTGCTGCTAAGACTCTTTAAAGAGAGCTAAGAAAAAATTGAGGAACCCTGGAAAAACCCCAAGCTCCCCTTTTTGGCAAAGCCTAAATGTGACAAACCCGCACCTGACTCTGAACCCTGCCCAGGGTTTTAGGATAGTCCAAGCCCTAAACCCTCGACTCTGACACTTTTCAAGGCCAAGAGAGCGTTGTACAGCGTGGCTGTTCGAGTGCCGTAAGGTGAGGACTGGGAGGGTTACTAGGGCCTGGAGGGTGTTAGAACTTCGGGTTTTAGGGGTTTTCGGGCTTGCAGGTTTAGGCTTCTAGGGTTTTTTGGGAATTTAGGGCTTTAAGGTTTGGTGTTAGGGTGTTCAACCAGTTTCAATGAAAACAAATGCCTTCCGAACTGCCATGCCCAGCCCTGTCAAACTTAGCTGCCAGGTTTCAGGGATGTCGCTAAACCCTAAAACCCTAAACCCTAAACCCTAAACCCTAAACCCCTAAGGTTGTGCCTGGGGATGTTCCCCCTTATACTAACAGCCCTTGATAGGGATGATACTACGGGGTACTATAATCCCTACAAAGGGCTCTTTCTGGTGCTCTTTCTGGTTCTATTTCTGGTGCTGTTTCTGGTGCTATTTTTGGTGCTATTTCTGGTGCTATTTCTGGTGCTATGTTACTAGCAGTCACCACCAGCAGACCCACAAAAAGCAGCACCCGGTAAATGCTAAAATTGACTGGGATTCCTGGTGCTATTTATGGCCTGTGTGTTATAAGGCCACGGCGTTATTTAACTGTCAGTGTGGACCGGCCGAACCCTAAACCCTAAACCCTAAACCCTAAACCCTAAACCCTAAACCCTAAACCCCCGAAAACTCTCAGCCCTAAACCCTCTCAGAACACAAAAAGCCTCTGGATCGAAGAGGCACACGGCCACCGAGTTGGAGGGAGGCTCCGTGGAGGCCTCGCTGACATGGGCGAAGGTGCTGGAGGCTTAGGGTTTAGGGTTTAGGGTTTAGGGTTTAGGGTTTAGGGTTTAGGGTTTAGGGTTTAGGGTTTAGGGTTTAGGGTTTAGGGTTTAGGGTTCAAACCCTAAACACGAAATGCTAAATATGAACCTTAAAACCTAACAGGGTGTGTTATCCCTAAAACCTCAAGGTTTGGGGTTTAGGGCTTAGGGTCCGAGATTCTGAACCCCATATTACAAAGGCGCCGCAAACAGTACCCGAAACGCTGAACCCTAAACCCTGAACCCGGAACCCTAAACCCCAAACCCTAAACCCTAAACCCTGAGCCCTGAGAAGACAACTCCTTCTTGTTCACGTCAACAGGATTAGGTGCCTCTGTGGCTTCTGGGGTTGAGGGCTTAGGGCTTAGGGCTTAGGGACGCCTAGGGTTTAGAGTTTAGGGTTTAGGGATGTTTAGGGTTTCGGGTTTAGGGCTTAGGGGTTTTTAGTGTTTAGGATTCAGGGCTTCAGGGCCACGAGTCCTGGAACCCGAGAATAGGCCCTAAGGAACAAAAGTTCACGTGAAACCCCTAATCCCCAAGCCCCAAACCCTGAACCCCAACCCTCGGAGAAGATTTCGTTTAAGCATCAGGGTCCGAACGCAAGCAGAAGTTAGTGCGTGCCGCTGCTGAACACTCAAATATGCCTACAGTACTACGTTCGGCATTACGAGAAAGTGCAAGCAATGGTCGCAAACAATGCCATGGCGACAAAAGTCGTCATCATCATCACCACCATCATCATCACCATCATCATGACCGTTGTTATTACCAATATTAATAGTAGCAATATTATTATTATTAATATTATTATTGTTCTGATTATTGTCATGACTATTAACAATGATGATTCGTATGATGGCTTTCATAATGCTCATTAAGATTATGATTAGTATTCTGACGAATAGGCTTATGATCAGTGCACGGCGCCTCAGCCTCAGCCTCAGCCTCAGCCTCATGCGGCATGGGCACGGCCTCCTGCCAAAACGTGTGCACATCAGCTCCAAACCCCAAAACCCTGTAAACCACAAAACATCAACCCTAAACCCTAAACCCTAAACCCCAAACCCTAAACCCTAAACCCGAAACCCCATGCCCTGCTCTCTCCTGCTCCTCCTGCTCGTCATCTTGGCTCAGCGGCTGCGCATCTTCCGCCTGCAGCAAAAGAACCCTAAACCCTTTAGAGTCCAGGGGGTTTAGGGTTTAGGGTTTGGGGTGTTAGGGTGTTAGGGTGTTAGGGTTTAGGCCTTGGATTGGAGGCTCGTGGGATTTCGGGTTTAGGGTTTAGGGCAGTGGGGTTCTGGTTACAACCTTCTTTGGGGTACTTACAACTCTGCTAAAGGGCTAGGCCGAAGAGTAACCGAGGAATAGAAAGGGTGCCCTTTTTGGTTTAACGGGGCTTCTAAGGGAACCTGGACCCTGAAAATGGAGACGTGTTGATAATATATGTGAGAGAGAGAGGGACCTTCTGGGTCCATTTCACGTATATCACTTGTATGATGACATTCATCGATTTACCTACTAACTTCTTTAACTTCTTTAGTTTCAAGGGCTCTCTTAGGGAAACAAACGAAATTACAGAAATTAATTAGTTTCTTTAATCTTTTAATTTCTGGGCCTCTCTGTGAGAAATGAAAAAGACAAAGACATTAATTCCGGTAGCCGTTCGGGCTTGCGGGACTAATTAAAAGAAATTACAGAAATTAACGAAATTAATGAAACTGATTAATTTCTCTAAATTCTTTAATTTCTGGGCCTCTCTGTGAGAAATTAATGAAATTTGTTAATTTCTTTAATTTCTGGGCCTCTCTGTGTAATAAGGACCCCAATAAGGTACCCTACTTCTGGAAACCACTACATTTATAGAGGCCCCCTGAAAGGTAACTTTCACAATCGAATACCCCCCCACTCCCCCCATAAACCCTAAAGCCCTAAACCCTAAAGCCCGAACTTCAAGCAGCCGAAACCCTGAGTCCTAGACCTTAGCCTTTATGTCTAGACATCGAGGACCTGGCCACCACACGCCGTCCCCTCCCCCTGCCCCGCAAGTGACCTCCGGAAGCTCAAACAGAGTCATCTCCACCGTGCCCTGGCAAGAGACTGACATGCCCGGGTCCCAACCGTAACCCGTTTAGGGTTAGGGTTAGGGACAGGCATGTCCGGGTCCCAACCGTGAGCCCTAAGCTAAACCCATCCAAACAAAAACCCTTCAGCCCTAATTCAGCCCCTCCCCCTAGATCCGCCTCAAGCGCTGGGTTTAGGATTCAGAGGAGGTATCGAGTTTAGGGGTTTTCGGCTCTTTTTTGGGTTTCGGGTTTGGGGTTTAGGGGGGCGGGGGTTCAGCTCGGTGACTGGAACCTGTCTCGTACCGAGACTTGCCCATCTGCTTCAGCTCTTCGGACAGGGCTTAGGGAGCCTCGTATATGCAAGGGACCGTGACATGTATCTAAGTGCTGTTTGGGGACTACTGAAGCACAACCATGTAAAAAAATCCAAGGGTTATGTGGCGGAAAGCCCTTGACCTAAAACACCCAGAAACACAAGAACCGAACAAACCCTTTCAACCATCACCCCAAAACAACTGCGTGTGTACTGATCACCAAAATAATGAGCACCAAAGTCATGAGCACAGAGCACCGCGAACTAACTCAACATGAACCAACCCTAAACCCTAAACCCTAAACCCTAAACCCTAAACCCTCCTCATGTCGTGGAGCTGCTATTCTTGTTCGGCCGGGATTTGGGCCAAAGAGTTGCTTTCATGAACGATTGCCACGACGTTAGGTTGTCCCGAGTCTGATATCCTACCTTGGGGCCGGCTCCAGATGAGACCAGGGCGTGTTAACAGTGAAAGATTTTACCACCTGCCAGGCAGACAGCACGGCAGACCGCAGGGGCAGGGAAACTATGAACCCTAAATCCTGAACCCGAAACCCTAAACCCTAAACCCTAAACTACCCTAAATCCTGAACCCGAAACCCCATAAACGCACCTTGACATAGAAGAGAATCGGCTGGTAGGGTGCTGTTGGCACCGTACAGAACCAACCAGAACACACAAGTTGGTCCCCTTTCGTGAGCACCTCGCTCCCACCGCCGAACCTCTTCCTCGGTGGATTCAGGGTTCAGGGTACTGTACCTCACTCCCAGGTATCGCAAGTGAGCAAAACCGTGTTGTGACGACTGGCCGTGAAAGAAAGCCACAATCCACCATGGCTCACACATGGCGAACCAGCAAAGGACCTCAGCCTTTTAAACAGAAAAATCCCCCCTGAAACAGTAAATCTACCACAGTTATAAAACCCCTAACCACCACCCTGCACTCGCCGCGTGCCTCAGTCTCCGAAAAGGGCGGCGATGCCTGCGCCGTGACTGGCGACCGCGGGCCTGCAATTTAGAGGTTGCCAGGATGG